CTTGCCCAAGTTGCCCTCCTCATTGAATTCCTTGTATTATTTCACTTGTCTATTACATAAAGTTCACATCATTTTGTAAAATCAATTAAAAGCTTTTCATCCCTATATACAACTGAGAAATAGAATTATGTGGAGACTGCATGCCAATATATTTTGCTTTATCAATGTGGCCTTAAATTACTTTGAACAGGTTGGGACCAATTTGACTCTGAATATCATAAATCTGCATCAAGATACATTTAAAGAAGTAACTTTTGATTGACAAGTTTTTCTGCATGCCCACTGGTTAGGAGCTGATTGATCCCTCGGAAGTTCCTAAACTTATTGGGGATCAATCTAACAAAATATAGGGTTGCAGAAATTTCAGCATTTTGAATTTTTGATGCAGATTTATGATACATAGCCAAAATGAAGTGTAATTTTTTGGCCGTAATTTATACATGTATCCCATTAATGATTTGGGGTATATATGTATTATATCTAAAATGGATTATCATATCCCATTTGGGCACTTGGTCCCAACCTGATGAATATTGTGAAACTCTTTGTCTTTAATCTGTAACGAAAAAGGAGAAAATGTAAGGATGGACCGGAATCCAATGCGGGATCCCTTTATCACTCGTCGGAGCTCTACTGACTGAGCTATAGATTAACCAACTAACCATGCAAGCCTACATAACATACGTGCCCATACCCATAACAAAATTATTAAACCTGAATTTACCATAGTAATCTGGTCAATTGATAACCTAAACCACAGAACCTTTGATAATCTTTTCACAATTTATAATTTGTTCTTACATGACAAGCAATTTCAAGTTGAATATGAGTCAAACATTTTTTTCAAGGAATCAAGTTACACCTAAATTTAAACGTACACATACCCCTAACAATTCAATCCCAAACTGAATTCCCTTGACCCCCGGTAGCTCGCCCTTGTACTTGATGATTCCCTTGAGGTAGGGTTGTCCTTTGACAGCCACTGTGACGGGGTCCTCCAGCTGAAGTTGTGCCCCTTCCTTCAGCCATTCCTGATCCTGAAATATAGACAGGCGTTCTTGGCAGACAGGGATGGGCTGAAGTAAGGCAAATTCTATCTTAGTTAGCTGACCAGTGTCCGTGGGCTGACATTCAATTTCAATGTTCTCAGGTTCAAGTGTCTCTAATATCCACGAGAGGGTGGTTCTCTGTTTATCGTAGCGCTCTTCCACCAACAGTAGAAGAGTTCCGGGTAACACGTCAACTTTTGAAGATGTTGTTCGTAGTATTCCTCTCTCTTTCTTCTTTCCTATTTTATCAGCAAGAAGAATATAGTAAACGTTGTCATTTTGGTCGGACATATCAATATTTAACAAAATACTTTCTGTTTAGGCCTTGCTAAAACATGGCTGCCACTAATACATTGGAAATCATTGGAAATTCCAAAGTGTGTTCCGAATGTCAAGGAAGTCCTTGTGGGAATTCCTCGCGTGAACGATCTAAAAATATCTTATAACGTAAACATCGAGCAGCTAACTATCATCAAAAGAATTTCGATGATTATTTCATATAATTTAAGCTGTGACATGCATAATCCTAGCAAATAAATTAACCAGTGATTGCACTTTTAATTCAAAAAAACTATCATTGTTTTTCATTTTCATATCTATTCAAATCAATAATTTTTTACGTAGCTGAATTTTAATGTTCCAGAGACAGATTTGGGGTAGTTCAGTAGAATCAGAGACATATAAAACCATAAAAAAATATGGTTTTATATGTCTCTGGTAGAATTTTATACCAAAACCTTATATGACCAATATTTAAAAATAAGCTCTTACTCAGGTCAAAGTTCTGGAAAAAGCACACAAAGAGATTAACTTTTTGAACATTTACGGACTGTATCAAAATTCTTGAAATGTTAATTTGTATTAGATTATTTATATATTATGCATATAATTTATTAGAAGCAATTTTTTAACCTCTAAATAATATTATTTGCAAATAAAACATCTTTTTTAAAAATCTCTCCAACCCCCTCCCACACAGACATTTATTTTAAATAATGGTGTAGCATTCCTCCTCCTACATGATGGAATCTTTTAATATTTATCGTATTAAAAATTGTCAGGGATATTTTCATAGACTTGAGAAGGCTAGCTATCTGTACTATATTCTCCATTGAGAAGTCGGTGGCTTGTTTTAATACCCCCCTTTTCATTAATATGGGGGAGTATTAAAACGAGCCATCAACTTAATTAGAGAATATCTGCATTAGATTAATGAAAGGATATCATTTGCATGAAGTTTTACCGTCGTACGCAAGATGATTACTATCCTTTTCCGTTTGTGTTTGTGAAACAAGATGAGGGTAAAAAAATTTAAAATTGTTATCAAAAGATCGAAGAATTTGCTTCAATAAATTACCATCGAAATATGATTGCATACGGACCAACCATTCAAAAGTTATCGCCAGTTTAATCAAAGTTTTTTAAATTTATTCGCCAGTTTTTTTAAAAGTTTTTTAAATTTTAAATTAATTTTTTAAAGTGGATCAAACTTCCACGTTTTCCAGGCTTTTTCATGCCTCTTTGCCAGGTTTCTGGGCACGTAAAATATCAAAATTACGAAAAGGCCTGGAAAACGTAAGATATTTCGGACTAAGGTTAAATATGTCGGTTCCAAAAAGAAGGTCTTGTCATAAGATATACACATCTTAAATATGAAAGCCATAGCTTCTAGCAATCTTGAAAAATTATTAATAATAATTAAAGGGCGGTGTTATTTTTTAGTGTTTTTTTGCGGACAAACGGACGGACAGGGCAAAAACTATAACTCCCCCCCCCCCCCCCCCCCCCCCCGATGATACGTGCCTGACTATTATTGTCCCCTGCTTTCGCGAATCTCATTCATCTGTCCGTCCGTCACAAAAACTTTAACCCTGGTCATATCTTTTGAATGAGAAGAGATATAGGGCTTTCATATACTCATGTATATTACCTATGACAAGACCTTTCTAAATACACTTTGGTTTTTGACCCTGTAACCTTGACCTTGAAGTTTGACCTATTTAAAAAATAGACATTACTCTGTATTCGTGGTAACTTTTGAATGAGAAGAGTTAGGGCTTTCATATTAGGGATGTGTATGTACATGTATATTACCTGTGACAAGACCTTTCTAAATAAACAATGATTTTTAACCTCTTGAACTTGAAGTTTGACCTACTGTTCAAAAACTTAAACCCTGGTCATATCTTTTGAATGAGAAGAGATAGGACTTTCATATAATACATGTATATTACCTGTGACAAGGCCTTTCTAAATACACTATAATTTTCGATGCCACAACCTTGGCCTTCAAGTTTGACCTGCTTTAAAACAAATTATTACTTTGAATTGGCCATCTTTTGAATGAGAAGAGATAGGGCTTTCATATCAAAATGTATACTACCTGTGAGAAGACTATCCTAAAAACAATATTATTTTACCTCGTGACCTTGACCTTGAAGTTTGACCTACTTTTCAAAAACTTAAACCTATAACATGAATTTTGAATGAAAAGAGATCGATATAAAGCTTTCATATGTGTATTACCTGTGACAAGACCTTTCTAAATACACTATGATTTTTGATCTTGTGAACCTGACCTTGAGGTTTGACCTACTTTTCAAAGTTGTTAGTTTTTCCGTATAGCTTTTGATTGAGAAGAGATTTGACTTTCATATTTATCATGTGCATTACCTGTGACAAGATATTTCTGAGCATGCTATGATTTCTTATCCCTTGACCTTCACGATTGACCTTATTTAAAAAAAATCAACTTCGGTGATAATTTCTATAAATGACATATGATAGGGCGTTCATATTTGACACAATATGTCATAAAAAATGACACTTAACCCACAAAGACACCAAAAGCGGGAAAGGGTGGCACAATTCTTTGTATTTGCTTGTTTATCTATGTAAATGGTGCTGTTAAAAATATGCTTTCATTTCAAAAATGCCTTACACACCGTCGGTGTTCATGTTTATATAGAATTAACGAATCGAAACTTTTTTCATTCCCCCGTATTCGAAGATTCGGGGGTACATTTTTCTTTTTTTTGTGTCCGTCCGTCTGTCAGTCTGTCTGTCTGTCCGCAAAAACAATAACGTTGTCGATAACTTTTGATTAAGTGGAGCTATGACTTTCATATTTCACAGGTTTATTCCTTGTGACAAGGCCTTTCTTTTGGTACCACCAAATTTGACCTTTTAACCTTGACCTTTGAGTTTGACCCATTTTTATACAAATATTCCAAACTTTTACATTGGCCATAACTTTTCAACGGTAGATACTAGGACGTACTAGACTTTCAAACTTTGGATATTTATTCTTTGTGACAAGACCTTTCATTAGATACCAAGAACTTTGACCCTTTGACCTTGACCTAGGACTTTGACCTACTATTAAAAAAATGTAATCTTGGCTTAAACTTTTGAACGGTTACGGCTAGGGCTTTCATACTTCACATATGTAATCCGGCCTTGTGACAAGACTTTGTATATTTTAGACACCAACAACTTTGACCTTGGCCCTGGAGTTTGACCTATCTTTCAAAAACTTTCTCGAAAAAAAATCTTGGCCATAAGTTTTGAACAGCGGTCGTGCAAACGCTTTCATATTTCACAATTGCATTTTTTGTAAGAAGACCTTACTTTAATTGGGTACCAACATATTATTTTATTTGCACTGAAGAAAGTTTATTCTTTGCCGTGTTGCCATACGGGGGCATCCGTGTTTCAAAAACACATCTTGTTATATAGAAGTTTTTGAATATCTATATTAGTAAGTATGCTGTAAGATCTTTGCAGAGCTTATTGTGGTTGTCCTCCCTCCCTCTCTCATCGATTTTTTTTCTTCTGACATAATTTTTTCCATGCTTAACGAGATTGTAAATCAATTTTCATCGGGATCGTTGTGACTCATATTCAAAACACGTAAACAAGCCAATGTGACGAAAGGAAATCGGATGAGAAATGGGGGGTTCAGAAAGCAAGGAATCTGCCGCCCCAAAATTATTTACCGAGAGGGAGCTCTTGTGTATCCAGTCGAAATACGATAAGCTGTTTAAATCTTTACACTCTTTTCAGGTAAACAGGTCTAGCACAATTTAGAGCTGTTAGTCTAGCTTAAAATTATTGAATAACTTTTATCAGTTTATCCGTATTTTTTTGCATATAACATAATTTTTTTTAAAAAGAGATAGACAACAAAATCTCGTGTATTTAACTTTAAGTATTCATATGTGTCCATCTGTGCATTACAGTGCATATGTGCCTAGTCCTGAGGAGTAATGACCATCCGGTGCTGATGCTTACTCCTACGAGGCACCTGTGATGGTTCGGGCCGTGGATATCGGCCTGGCCCCGGGATCATGAAGCATCTTAAGCTTAAGTCAAAAAATTCCTTAGATGCTGAATTTCTTTACAGGTGCAAAAATTGGAAATTTTTATTTTGTATCATCATTAATGTTGTATGCCAATTATGTGTTTCCTTTAAAAAGTTTTAAAGATTTTATAGATAATTGAAATTTTGACTGCAACCCTACAGTCTGTTTCATGATCCTGGGAAGTTGGATACTTCCAAGGGATCAGAGCACCTGACTATGGGCATACAGAAAAACTTGTCAACCAAAAGTTTTCTCCTTTATGTTACAGATTTGGTGCCGTTGAACCCCTGGAATTGCAGGTGAAAGTCCTAGCTAAAATAAAAATTTTGTGTCTTCGAGGGCGAAGACTTTTAGGAGGGAGGAATGTATAGCCCATTCGGCCTGGATAGCTATATCGGTAGAGCACCTGACTAGTGATACAGGGGTCCCGGGTTCGATTCCCGGTCCAGCCATGCATTTTCTCCTTTCCTGTTACACACCAGATCCCACCTCTGGAGTGTCCAGTGGATCTTGATTTATACCTTCTTCTCTTGTTTCTATTGTTTATAGATTTTTTTTAGACAGATCACTGTTCATCATCTTTACCTTTTACAGGTTAATTTGGACCAGTTGTCCAAATGGGATATACATAGAATACTCTGCCTGGGAAATAATATTACAAATAGGATATAATTTTACAGTGCAAAAAAAACAACAAAAAAAAAACAGAAAATTTTATTTGGCTATAAATATCATGAATCCATATTTATCCAAATACTAAAAAAGGGAAGAAATTTTGGTAAGCTATAATCTCAATGAGATTTGTCGAAACTGAAAAAATTGGACTGCACTGTAAATTTATATCCCATTTGGGATATTGTATCCCAGATAGGCTTTTACAGTGTATATCCCCATGGGCGATTGACCCCAACTGGTACATGTACGTACTATATGGACTATCAAAAAAGCAATTAAAGTCAAATGAAAATAGTTTAGCATTGCAACTTTTGAATACTTTTCAGCAACATATATATTTCCATTGTTAGAATAACTGTATAACATCTTGTGTGGGTAGAGGCATGGATATGTACGATTGCTTCAAGTTTTGTGGAATCATTAACAATTATCTTGTTGACCAGAATAGACCTGCTTTATAATATCAATCAAGAAGTATTAACTGTGTGGTCCCAAATCACCTGGCAATGCTTTATATGACTCCAAAACTTTTGGGTTCATATTCATATAAAGTCACAGAACAATTTTCACGTGCATTGTTATCAGACAAGCTCAAAATTAAATTTAAGCAGTGCAGCAATGTGTGCCTTTTTGTACATGCTAAAAATAGCACATTTAAAGAAAAAAAGATGTGTTTGTGAGCCATGCACTGATGTCCCCATATGGCAGCTTTTTGCAAGGGTTAAAGTTTCACAAACCCCATGGTCAATATATATTATTATAACAGTAACTTGATCCGAAGGGTCGTATCACGTCGAGTTGACAGGCGCGTATCATCAAATCTAACGAGACGCGAAGCATCGAGTTTGTCCGCGCCTGTCAACGAGACGTGATGCGGCTCTTCGGATCAAGTTACTGTTATAATGATAAATTTATTATATACCCCCTTATAAATAGCTGAATATATCGAAATAAAACTTTAAAGATCAATTGTATAATATTTATTTATAAACCAAAGCATAATAACAAGGGACTTTTTAGCGCGCAAGAAAAATAACGTCATATTTCTGCGTACTACGTCATCAGTTTGAGAGAGTGGTGATATGGATTCAGAAAACCACAGTGTGGTGATCATCACGACGTCACGTGATAGCGTAAAATCAACAGTAAAATTGAGTGATACACATTAGGTATATAATAAAAAGGTCAAAATTGTTGATATCAAGAGGAAGGTCTTGTCTTAAGGAATCAACTTGAGAAATAATAAAAGCCCTCATTCTAACTGTTCAATAGTTAAGGCCAAGGTTAAAGTTTTTAAAAGTGGGGCAAACTCTAAGGTCAGTGTCAAAAGGTAAAGAAATATTAATACCCACTGAAAGGTCTTGTTACAATGAATATACAGATGAAGAATGGAAGCCCAAGCACCAACTACTCAAAAGTTAGGACCAAATTTGAAGTTTGGTATTTTTTGTGGGTCAAACTCAATAGTCAAGGTGAAGAGGTAAACTTTGATGGTACCCAAAGAAAGGGTGTTATCACAAGTAATGTACCTATGAAATATGAAAGCTATAACCCCAACCACTATAAAGATATATTGGCAAGATTAAAGTTTTATGGACAAACAAAGAGATGGACAGTGCTAAACTATATACCCCTGAATCTTTGATTACAGGGGAGGGGAGAGGCAAAAAAAAAAAATACTATGTCATTGTATACTATAGCTTTACTTTCCTTCAATGAATTTTTGGAGATCAGCCTTTCTTCAGGTACATTTGACAGTGGTAGCTTTATGTAAAGTCCTTGTTTTTAAAAAAAGGAATTATGATTTTAAGAAATCGAATTCTTGCAAATGCACAAAAGCTATGACTTACTCCTGATACGATGGTTGTAGCATTAATAAATATTAAAAGATAAATCCAAACTGACTATTTCTGCATTTTGTTTTGCATTAGGAAGGACTTGTGCCATTAAACAAGGAGTTAAGCAGGAATTTACACCAGTACATCAGCCAAATTCAGACACATCACCATGGTCACCAGAAACACAAACACGGAGTGACTTTACAGCAGTTTCAAGTGTTTGTATCACATGCTTTGAAGGGCACCTACGAAGAAAAGGCAGCCATTTTCTGTGGAATGAAAAATTCAACACAGATTAGTGCAACTGATGTCTCTGATGTAAATGACCTTGACTAAAATTTTAATTAAAAAAAGAATATCATAAATAAAACATAATCTCTTGTCATTTCCTTTCTTAGCTAACCTTGAAAGATTCCATACTTTTTTTGGCAAGATTGTCAAACATAAACATGTCTGTCCTCTAGTGAGTACAGTTAAAGGTGTGAGTTTTACAGGTGACCACAGGTCTACTACAGGTGTACAAACATTACCTGGTCCAGCTCCCCCACTGGAGGGGGATCCACACCCTCAACACGGGAGGGAAGGGGGATAAGCAGTTTGTGTCCTACCTTACAAAGGGACTTACAGGTTAGTAAATCTTAATAAAACATGTTGACTTTAAAGAAAATGTTGAGCATTTGGGAAAGAAGTCTATGACTAATCTGCATAAAATTGAATCAATTTCGTAAGGACCAAGGTCAAGGTTATAAAGATCTGAAGTATAAACTTGATTTCTAGTCTTGTATCAGGGATCTGAAGTATAAACTTAATTTCTAGTCTTGTATCAGTAGAATATTTGAATCTCATTCTGTTACTTTTACTTAGAGTTGTTTATGTCCAGAGAATGCATCTTCGCAAGGTTATTAATATGTCATGAAAATTTACAATGCAAAAAAATTGTTGCATGCATTTTTCAAATCACGCATAACTTTTCAAGGATGCCCTGCATGAGCTAGTTCATGCTCTGATTTTTACTTTTCTACAAAAATTTATAACATTTTTGAATATTTCTTACAGCTAGTGAAGAGAATGAGAAAATGTGCATCAGTGATATAGAAACCTGGATGTCCAAAACGCCACATTTTATGAACATCTTTGACACTGTGTTCAGTATTCTATTCCAGTTTGAGAATGTAAGATATTCATAGTTGTTCATTTTCCCATCAAGCTTAATTGTCTACAAAATAGATAAATTTATATTTTTAAAATAATTAAAATCTTCAAATTGTACAATAATCAAAATTTTAGGAAAAAGAGATATTGGAGAATATGGCAGCAATGGTGCCAATACCAATATTTGTGGGTCATCGTAATGAGGCAGTCCAGAGTGTACTGGACCACAATTCTGTGTTGTTTTTGAACTATAACCTACCCACCATGCATCAGTCGCATTGGCGCTTCCTGTTCAGCAACTCAGTTTTCGGGGACAGTTTCTCTCAGCTCTTAACACAAATTATAAATAAGGGTCCCACCCTACTGGTGGTCAGGGACAAGACGGGGCACCTGTTTGGGGGCATGGCCGCTGACAGCTGGGAGTGTAGGGCTAAATTTTATGGTAAGATTTTTCTTTGAGGAAGCAAAACTAATTTTTGGTACATTTATCTGTATATCCAATGCTAAGTTCTATTCATGCGTTAAGGTTTAAGATTGTGAGCTGAATTGTTTTCAGACTGTCTGTCTTTTTGTCTAGTTGGGATTTTGATCCTGAAATAAAAAAATGTAATTTGCATTTTTACAGCAAATTTTGAAAAAATCTTGAAACTTTAGAATTGCAAGAGTTCATATCCCCTGAGCATATTCAGATGATTTACAGATTTATTGCAACTTCTGAATTAAAACCCAAGAATCTAGAGAGAAATTAAAACTAGCTAGCAAAGAGTATAAAAAAGTAATGGATTCATCAATCAGTTTTACAGACAAGATCTATCTCAGAAAATTAAAAATTTACGAACAAATAACACGAAGGAATACTGGAAAATATTAAATAGCCAAAATAAAAATGACACATGTACAGCTGATTTAAACAATCTGTATAATTTCTTCAAAAATATCAATGAAGTCGATGTAGAGGAAACAGATTCAATTACATGTAATATCACTGAACAAAGTAGATATAATGAAACACTTGATTGTCCAATTACGCAAGATGAAATTTTGTCGGCAGTAAAAGACCTAAAAAACAACAAATCTCCTGGAAGCGATCACATTCTTAACGAACATATTAGTACCACTATTTCATTGTTCTTGTCTCTGTACGAGAAATTGTTCAATCTTATCTTTGACTCTGGGATAGTACCGGAAGAATGGCTTGTAGGCATTGTTAAACCTATTTATAAAAATAAAGGAGATCCAACACAACCTGAGAACTACCGCCCGATCACATTATTGAGCTGCTTAGGGAAACTTTTTACGAGTATTTTAAAAAAACGATTAGAAATTTATGCAGAAAATATCAGTCTGATTAATGAGAGTCAAACAGGTTTCAGAAAGGGGTATTCTACTTTAGACAATATATTGATTTTGCATTTTCTGTCACAAGCCCTTATAAATAGCAAACAAAAGTTATACTGTGCATTCATCGATTTTAAACAGGCTTTTGATACTGTATGGAAAGGCGGCCTTTGGTACAAATTATTTTCAAACGGTGTTAGTGGGAAGTGTTTCAACTATATTAGAAATATGTATGCATGCATAAAATCAAGAATTAATGTGAATGGTGTGTCTTCTGAATTTTTCAACTGCAATGTCGGGGTTAGACAAGGTGAAAATCTTTCACCTTTTTTATTTTCATTGTATATCAACGACTTAGAAAATTACCTTACAGAAAGGAATGTTAACGGTTTAGAGAATTTTTCTAAAGAGATTGAAGATGATCTTAACATTTTTATCAAGCTGTTTATTTTATTTTATGCTGATGATACGGTTATTATGGCTGAAACCGCAAATGATTTACAACATGCATTAAATGAATTTTCTGTATATTGCAAAACGTGGAAACTCCATGTTAATGTTAAGAAAACAAAAATTGTCATATTTTCAAAAGGACGACCACCCAAACATACATTTAAATACAATGACGATGTTTTAGAAACTGTAAAAGATTTCAATTACCTTGGTATTATATTCTCAAGATCAGGGTCATTTTCAAAGGTCAAGAAACACTTATGTCTTTCTTGTTAATTTTCTTTCTTTATCAAGCACAAAAGGCAATGTATGGCATTATTAGAAAAATTTGTTTATATAATCTATCTCTGGACTGTCAGTTAGATCTGTTTGATAAAGTTGTCGTTCCTGTTTTATTATATGGATGTGAAATATGGGGATTCGAAAATATAGATATTATTGAACGTCTACATTTAAGATTTTTAAAATATATTCTAAACTTAAAATCTAGTACACCGAGTTTTATGGTATACGGGGAAACTGGACGTTACCCGATGTATGTGCGCATTTATACAAGAATGATATCTTACTGGGGAAAAATGATACATGGAAATGAGAATAAGATCTGTAGAATTATTTATTTACATCTTTATAATAAATACACTAAAAAATGGGATTAGTAATCCATGGATATCTTTCATACATAATATTCTTAATACAACGGGTCTCTGTAATATTTGGACTAGTCAAAATTTTCATAGTGTTAAATGGATTGCAACCACAATTAACCAAAAGCTCAAAGATCAGTTTTTACAGAAATGGTATAGTGATTTGAATAATTCCAGTAAAGGTATTACATATAGAATTTTTAAAACAAAGTTTGAATGTGAAAAATATTTAACTATTTTACCAAGAAAATTTAGAAATATCTTTTCAAAATTCAGGACAAGTAACCATCGTCTTCCAATAGAGATGGGTAGATGGAATAATGTTGAAAGAAATGAAAGAAAGTGCAATCTATGTAATAATAACCAGATAGGAGACGAATTCCATTATTTACTGGAGTGTAATGCATTATATAAGATTCGAAAAGATTTTTTGTTGCAGAAATACTATGTTCACCCAAATATAATAAAATTCTGTAATTTGATGACAAGTACAGATCCAGCATTTTTACGAAAACTGTGTATATTTATTACAAAGATTTTTGACACTGTCTGTCCTCCTGTAATCTCTGCTCGTCCATAATTATTGTAAATATGTATATATGTACCTCTTGTACCATTGTATGGTTTTTTGAGAGAATAAATGAATGAATGAATGAATAAAATTTAATACTTAATGAATTACATTACTAATACAGCGTGTTCTTATTTCTTTAGGTTCTTCTTCCTGTTTTCTTTTTACTCTGAGTCCACAGTATGGGGTCTACACACCAACCATGTACAATGAAAACTTCATGTACCTCAACCAAGGACAGGCAACTCTACTTAATGGACTGGTATAATTTCACAAAACAGAACAGAAAAATCTAACGATTACTTTTTTATCAATATTTACTTAACAATTTTTTCTGTAAATTTTTATTGATCTTTTAATTATATACCTTATAATGGAACAAGTGATAATTCAGCCATTCATCTGTTGTTTGATACTGATTAGGTACATGTATTTCAGTTGTTAATTTTCTTTCTATTCTTCTTTGTCTCTCCTTTATGCAGGGAATGGGAGGACAGATGGACTATTTTGGATTGTGGATAGACAGCAGCTTTAACCATGGCCACAGTAAGGCCAAGCCTAAGTGTACAACGTATGGCAGTCCTCAACTGTCAGCTGACCCAGAGTTTGAGGTGGACGTTATTGAAGTCTGGGCCCTGGGTCCAGAGAAGAAGAGCGAGGATAGTGATGAGGAAGGGGAGAAAACTGTGAGTATATTACAAGTAGTCCTTGCTTTTGAGGAGGACAATGGGGCAGTAAATTTCCTCAATGAATGTGATAACTTGCAAAAGTAGTAAAGTTGCTTACCTATGCTTTCTACATTTATTTAAATAAGCATGCAAAACTAGATATGTACTGCTAATACATGTATTTTCATTTTCAAAATTATTTTTTCAAGGAAACAAAGAAGAGCATCTTACAAAGTGATCCAGAGTCAAAGGCTATGATGGAGTTACTGGGGAAGACTCAGGCGAGCGAGGGATTCCGGGAACATGACGATGACGACAACGATCAATCCGAGGAAATGAAGAGGAAAATGAACACCATCCCCAAACTTCTATAGGTGTCCATCTTAGAGGAAATAAACATCACCTCCAAACTTCAATAGCTGTCCATCTTAGAGGAAAATGAACATCATCCTCAAACTTCTATAGCTGTCCATCTTAGAGGAAAATGAACACCATCCCCAAAATTCTATAAGTGTCCATTTTAGAGGAATAAACACTATCCCAAAAGTTCTATAGCTGTCCATCTTAGAGGAAAATGAACACCATCCTCAAAATTCTATAAGTGTCCATTTTAGAGGAAATAAACACTATCCCAAAAGTTCTATAGCTGTCCATCTTAGAGGAAAATGAACACCATCCTCAAAATTCTATAAGTGTCCCTTTTAGAGGAAATAAACACCATCCCAACAGTTCTATAGCTGTCCATCTTAGAGGAAAATGAACACCATCCTCAAAATTCTATAAGTGTCCCTTTTAGAGGAAATAAACACCATCCCAACAGTTCTATAGCTGTCCATCTTAGAGGAAAATGAACACCATCCTCAAAATTCTATAAGTGTCCCTTTTAGAGGAAATAAACACCATCCCAACAGTTCTATAGCTTTCCATCTTAGAGGAAAATGAACACTATCCCCAACCTTCAATAGCTGTCCATCTTAGAGGAAAATGAACATCATCCCCAAACTTCAATAGCTGTCCATCTTAGAGGAAAATGAACATCATCTCCAAACTTCAATAGCTGTCCATCTTAGAGGAAAATGAACATCATCCCCAAACTTCTATAGCTGTCCATCTTAGAGGAAAATGAACATCATCCCCAAACTTCAATAGCTGTCCATCTTAGAGGAAAATGAACATCATCCCCAAACTTCTATAGCTGTCCATCTTAGAGAAAAATGAACATCATCCCCAAACTTCTATAGCTGTCCATCTTAGAGGAAAACGAACACTATCCCCAAACTTCTATAGCTGTCCATCTTAGAGGAAAATGAACACTATCCCCAAACTTCTGTAAGACTAAGTGTTTATCTTAACTAGATAATACATGTATAAAAGCAAACTTTCCTAAAATTAAAGGTCAGATATACAAAAATTATATAGTTTAGATCTGAAATTGGTTATTTTTATAGAAATTATATCTTATTATACCGAAGGATGTTTCCAAAATTTTCAGTGTCATGTTTTACCCCATGTTTCCCCATGATTAATTGAACATTGTTAATTGTATGTTATGCATCAGGTATTCATACATTGATGGAATGCTATTTTACCAAATGTAAAATTTTAGTTCATTGTCTTTCATTAAAGAGATTCTAATGAAATGTTGATCAAATGATCAAATCTTACAATTAAAATTGATAATTTATTATTATTGATACATTTGCTTTTTTACCTCACTTAAAAGTAGTGCCATACTTAAAATTGTAGTTAATGTTTTCCCTCATGTTGACAACTTATTCATGTTGGTTTAATATTCACTAGTCTTATGATGAAAATTGTTAATTTTGACAGAAATAATTGTATTTCTCTTTCTAAATTTTCAATTTTAAATATATAAATATATTTTAAGAGTATCATTTTGCATTTGATTTTAATTTGATACTTGTAATTTCAGTAGAAAAAATAGTAGAAACTTATTGTAACTTGTGACTTATAATTGAAAGAAATCACTAATTAAAAAAAAGTAATCTTGATTTTGTTGTATACATGTGATATTTTCAGCATTCTCTCACTTTATAAATTATATGAAGAAGCATATCTTTTAACATTTATAATTATTGAAAGAATTTAAAGTATGTAAAATATACTGAAAAAAGTATTACCAAAAAAATTCTTATAATTGAAATTAAAAGGAATTAGCAGTACCTATGTCTGTTAGATTTACAGTTCAATAATTAATTATAAATAACAGTAGTTGGTCTGGCAGCCCATTATCACACCTGTGTAAGACCATCACAATCACCCTTTGACTTCAATTAATTACCCGTAATTAGACCTACCTATCAGTGTCTCCTATCATTACTGTGTCATCATTTGATTGGCCCACTGTTTAATTGAGATAGTATCTGTACTCCACGTGAAAGCGAGTAAGACTAGCTGAGTGGGAGAGTATTGTTGTAAGGTGTGGTGTATATACATATCCCCAGGACAGTTCACAGACACTGTCTTCTAAATTCCTTAATCTGAATCATTCAACAGGAAGTATACAAATGGGACAGGTTGTTATAGCATTATAGGAAATTGCTAGTGATCAGTGTGTGACTGTTTTCATAGTTCTTTTTATTGTGATTTTAATTTGTGAATTTGTGGTGACATAAATGAGAAGTGCAATGGAAGGTGGTGAAAGTGGACTTTATAATGGACATTCTGACAATTCTTCCACCCATAATGGACAACTTACACCCCTGAGTAACACAGCCCTGACCTCACAGTCCAGGATGTATCCTCAGACCTGCCAGTCATTCCCGGGGGGACTGTACCCGACCTCTTGTCAGTCACATGAAGGTGTGTATTCCTCTGCTGGTATCCCGTCCCACAATGGATTGCCTCCACAATATCCCCCCACCAGTCAGGGAGTGGAGTATCCATTCTTTCCACCCCCATTCATGATTTCACAACCTCCAGGAATGGAGAGATATCCGAGCCAGCATTCTCAGTATAATGGAGAACATTATCCTCCAATGAACTTTTACCAATCACAACAGAATGATTATCCTTCACATAGCTTGAATGGAACCTCAGAGTTCAAGCAAGACCCCGCTTACCTGAGAGATGACATTGAAAATCTTCCTGTCATGTATGGTGAGCAAAACCAACAACCAGATAATCTGCACATGTCCGAGTCCTCTTATAGTGGTTCTCCAAATAGCAACGATTCTCCAGTTCAAGATACAAGTTATGTTCCGAGGGAAATCTCCAACCAAATGGAGTTTCAGAGAGCACTTCTACCTCACAAGGAATCCAGATCACATGATATGCCTGTGTCTAGTTCCACTGGTCCAGCGGATGTTTTCTGTCTCGTGGATGGCCGTCTTTCTCTACTCAGCAGTACCTCGAAGTACAAAGTCACGGTGGCTGAGATCCAGAGAAGGTTATCCGCTCCCGAGTGTCTCAATGCCTCACTTCTGGGAGGAGTCCTCCGGAGGGCAAAGTCCAAAGATGGTGGCAAGAACCTGCGAGAGAAGCTGGATAAGATCGGCCTAGCTCTACCTGCCGGGAGAAGGAAGTCCGCACCCGTGACACTTCTGACCTCTGTAGTGGAGGGGGAAGCCATTCGTCTCGCTCGTGATTTTGGATATTTATGTGAAACTGAATTTCCATCAAGACAGTGTGCCAAATATAATGTTACAAAGTATCGTAGCAACATTCCCGAAGAACAGATGGCAAGGAAAAACATGATCATTGCCTCAAAACAGATTTTAAAAGAATTTATGGACATTTTAAATCAGGACCGTTCCCCCATAGGAAACTCCAGACCCCAGAATATTTTGGAGCCAGAAATTCAGAATCCCCTGACCCGATTCAGTATGATTTGTCACGGATTTGGGTCTCCTGCCATTGTGGCCTCACTGGCTACTGTACAAACTTATCTCACAGAGATGCTGAAACACATGGATAAAGAGTTCCCAACCGGGCCAAAGGAATAATGACAGTTACAAAGAATTAAGTGCTTGATATTTGTTTTTCTCAATTTCTGTTGATTTTTTTTTAACGATGAAGAATTTAATATTCTTATCTATGTTAAGCATTCAGTAATATTTTATAGATGTTACTTGCATTGTACAGTGATTTAGAGTATTAATGATGGTTGAACGATATTTTTTGTACTTAAATCTGTAAGTATGGCCAAAGATTAATTTGAATGCTGTTTAGAATGTGTTTAAAGCTTAATAGTATGTTTTTGCACAATTAATGATATTGATATTTATTTCTTATTTTATGATGATATGTTACATGAATTAAAGATATATTCAGAAAAAAGTAACCTTGTTGTAATGTGTAGAAAATTGTTGGAAGCTGCTAATAATCAATGTACCAATTTGAAATATTCATAGCAGAGCCAGGAATAACTGGAGAGTAATTTCTTCCATGTTTCAGAATAAAGATATACAACTTAGAAAAAAATTCATATCTGATCTAAAACTTTGGAAATTATTAGGAAACTTTTCATATTTGTGATGATTTAATTGCAGCTTAACAACGACACAAGTCAACATATTCAAAAAAAAAAAAGAAGATCTATAAAGAAGTCAAATGACTTTACTTTTCTTGTACACTTTATTTCCTACTACATATAGTACTATGTGGTAAAGCAATTGTACATGCACTAACCTTTTTGCATAAATTGATACGGTAAATAAACTGTAAATTAAATTTCTACCAGCACAGCTGGGAACAATACTAGTAAATGCACAGATATAAATCATTTTTGTTCATTGCTCATTACAATTGATTCTTCTACAGAAGCACATACAGTGAAGTTCTGTGTATTTTATTCTGACCTATAATAAATTAATATGAAGCACTAACAAATAAATAATTAAAAAAAAAAAAAGGTTTACATTTCCAGTCATATTTTTTCCCAAGATTCTTTGAGAATTAGAAAACAGTTCATTTTCTGAATCTCAAGAATATTTCCATAGGGACATCATAATTCTGTTATTAACATCAAATCTAAAGTACAACCTTTTTTTTCTTTTTTATTATAAAAATGATAGTTGCATGAATGGCATAATTTGTGGCAAGTCGTGGGATGATTAATGTAAATAAAAGAAAGGTATTTTTATAAAATTTATGAAAATTCATTAGGCACATGAACTACCTGGGCTAACACTCCGTCATTATACATGAAAAATGCTGTTGTCAAGCACCACAGTTCGTGTTCTCTTTGATTATCAAAAATTACGTTCATATCTCAAATATACTCCAACAAAATTTAATGGTAATATTTTTCAAGTCCAGGATCCCTAAATATGACTGTTCTTCAGAGAATATGCTTTACTTCAATATAATTTCAAAATCTCCACTCTCTACCATCAGCTCATTACATTCACCTCTGTCGTTTGCTCGCATATATCACAGTGATAGATACAAGAAAAAGTGTGTTTGTTTTAATTCATTATAATTTTATTTCTATGTTTATGTCTGACTTTTGCAATAGATATTAATTTAATTTGAAACAATCCTGCAAATTTAACGTTTTCTATGTTATGTAAAAAAAATTGACGTGAGCCCATTGCAGAGGTGTCTGAGAGAGTAACGAAGGATAACTCTGCATGGGAGATTGCAAAATCTCTTCGACATATCCAAGGTTTTCAAGATATCAGTGATTCGGATACTGAGATTCAACTGTACTTGGTATCACTGTATAAAATCTATTTGTACATGCACTTTTTAAGGTGTTATTTTTTGGAGAAATGAAATGAAACATGTTACATGTATTTCCTTAAAATTAAAAATGTACCCAATTTACAATTTTTTTTGTATAATTCACAAAAAGAACAAAATCTTGTCTAAATAAAAGAATTTTAACATCATAAATTGCCCTTTTTTTTTCGTTTCCTACATTTGTAAAAATGTATGCAATAATGTTTTCCCTATGTGGATAATAAAATTCAAAAATAAAAATGATTATACAGGAATTTAAGCTGCAAGAAGCTGCACAGTATACATTTACTGTATCTTATAAATAGAAATTATAATCTTCCTGGTACACATCAAGAAGAGTGTACTAGGTATTTATACATTTGTACCAACAGCTTAAATAAAAATTATCATCATAATATGCTGGGGTACATTAAAAGAGGAGTGTATATATACATTTATACCACACAGTTCTGCCATCACTGAACTGGGGGTTTAGAATTAGGTAACTGTTTAAAGACATGTTTAGGTATGCGTAACATACAACACGGGTATCCCCGTAAGTTTGGTGGACCATTCACAGACACAGTTCTCCATAGCCTGCTACAGACATTAAAAGCTCGGATGCATTCAAACCTTCCACCCATCTCTAGGTCCCCTATGACCCAAATCTCGTCTCCATTTTTCACCACCGAAAATATTTGTGAGGAATCGTTCATTGTGCATAGAAACTCCTGTTGTCTTGGGACCTGCTGCCAGCTGTCTTGAGCAGTGTTGTAAATTTCTGTCCCACAAAACTTAATATTGTTCCCTCCATGCATGGCACTTGGACATTCATACCTCCTAACACCCCCAAACACAAAGATATTCCCCCTACAAGCTACGGCCCTGGCATCACATCTCCTCTCTCTCATTGGACAGACGGATGACCAGGTATTGGTACACGTGTCAAAACATTCTACTGACTCGTACAACTTCCCCACCATCCCACCGGCTATAACATAGATCTTCTTGTCCACTACTGCATAGGCAGACCACACCCTTCTCAGGTTCATTTCTGGTAGAGGTGTCCATTTATGGCTAAAAATGTTATAGGCTTCCATAGAAGTACTGGGTTCTCTGATATCATTGCTGCCTCCAATGGCATATATGTCATCTTCAATGGCAACCAGACCAAAACCAAACCTGGCATGGTTCATTGGACTGATTGGAGTCCACTGGTTGACCTTGGGGTCAAACTTCTCACCTGTGCCCAGTATTCTGTCCTCTGTGTCCTTACCTCCAACAGCATACAGACACCCTCCTACAAAATACAGTACAGTGTGACAGACATCCTCATAAAGGTGAATATCTAATGGATCAATAACTACATGTACCACATAATTTACATACAGTCTTGCATGTAAAAGATTTTAAACTTAATAATATACTTATAGAAATAAGAATACATGTATAACAAGAGCTCTCCAAGTTTCTTTAAAGTTTGAAACTTTTACTTAAATAGTGATTGCTGAAACACCCTATGCACTTGATTTACACTTTCTGTAGTATGAGCACTTTCCTTTCATGAAAAATACTTAATCTAATCAAAAGATTTCTAAACAGTGTTTAGAAGAGATGATGAATCACAGATCCAGTAGGAATTAGTGCTGTATTACTTATTTTGTGTACCTGCTTCAACTACACTATGAGCACTTCTACTCTGCATCATGGGAGGTAACTCTAACCATCTGTTTCCAGTGGGCGTGGCAGAAAAGCAGTAAGCATCCCTTCTCACTCCACTCTCTTTGTCAAAATTACTACGACATAAAATTGATTAAAAATTAGTTTTAAACTTAAATTTTGGTAATTTTCAATGTAGGATATCTTAAAATATGTGCAATTTAAAAGTGGAATTGATAAATTGTGGATAATTACTGAATAACTCTTGAGTCTCCTCCAGCACACACTAATACATTGGTTACGCCCCTTGGTTTGTCTGTAGCCCCATTCTGACATTGTAGCTTGTTCTGAATCATTTCCTGGATCCCAAAGTTGTGTATATCTGGATACATCTCGACTAACCCCTGGAGAGTGCTTTCACTGAGGAGCTGCACCCTGAGACAGTTATTGATCAGATCTGAGAGGTGCCCCCTCCTGTTCTCCTCGTCGTGTTTCACCCATCGTATAATGCTGTCCAGGATGTCCCCCTCAGTCTGAACTTTGAGTGTGTCGGTACACAAAAGGCTGGTCAGCAGGTCAAGGGGAAGTTGTAGAAACTCTCCATAATTGGTAATATTTCTAAAAATGCATATACAATTCAATGGACTATAAAAAATAAATAGAAACTAAAAGATTTCTAAACTACATGTATCTATAAAATATCTTTTATTTAAAATAAATAAAGCTGAAATGCATGTGGTTTACGGTGTTGAAATCCAAAATATTGGTATTTGCTTGAGATAATTTAAGTGAACATTGATTAAGTGTCTGAGTGTCTACCTGTACACGTATTATATGAGTTGTATATGCAAGAAAGCTTTATAATATAGTATTCTGTATGCAAGAAAACTTTAAAATATACATACGTAATAGTATAAAAAAATTGTAGAAAAGGAACCCATTGTGAATAAAATATATTTTTCATTTGCATGAGTCTCTCTATCGTCGGAAACCCACGGGTGATCTCATCTTTACTTATCACCGGGTGATAAGTAAAGACGAGATCACCCATGGGTTTCCGACGGTGGAGTCTCTCATGCACAAAATGTTTTACTAACCTGAAGTTGTTCTCAAGAAACTGGGTGGTTTTTAAACGTACCCAAGAGCAGTTGAATCTTGAGGCAAAATCCCAGATACCTAGACAATTTTGCGATGTTATGCATTTCAGAAGATATTCACAACATGCCTGTTTTAAATCCGTTAATAACAGAAGATCAGCTGCCTGGAGAATGTTCTGTATGTTTTCTTCATCCAGCACAATTTCTGATGTATATAAATAATCTAAGATTATTTCAAATGTGTCTACTGTGATCTGTAAAGGGGACAAATCCACAACTTCTGAATCATGACCTGCCATTGAAGAAGCTGGCTTTCCCTCAACAGAACTGCTATAATCATAAGCTTTATCATACACCAATCTACAAGAGGAAATGTTATGTTGATATGATACTTTTCTAAAGAATTGCATATGCTTTATCATATGTAGTACACTTAATAAGTCCTTTAGCATTTGTAATGCAATTCTGTATCATGATTCCTTTAATTTAAACAAGATTCCATTAGATTTTAGTGCCAAAAGGTCAATGAATTATAACAGAAATTCACATATTGCATAAAATGGTTCCCAGATGATATAATATTAGTTTTTCTGTCATTGTAATCAAATGTTTTATCATAAGTCCCCATGACATAAAGAAAATCCCTATTTGTTTTGAGCTTTAAAGGACAAGGTAAGAATTTTTAGTTGCAAGTTCGTAACTTCATTTGGGGGGTGCATTGAAAAATTGTGTATCACCATGATCACAACTTCCTTTGACTTATTAAAAGAAACCCACTGATTTCGAAATCAATAGGTCGTGATCCTCTCAACTGAGAAAAACTCTTTTTGCTTTCAAGGTCAATAATTGAAAGATCATGGTCACCTCCCCCTTTCTCATTCCTTGAATAAATTCCCTAAATCAAATTCGTGTCACTTTTGGATTAAATTTAAAATTCTCTAATAATAATAATAATGCATCCTATGTTTTACCTAAAGTAATGACTGGCCGCTGCCAAAATTCCCTTTTGAACAGGTATTTCTTTTCCATCGATGAATACACATCCATCACAGAAATGACTCTTCTTTCTAATACTATTCAATGCACATAAAAGTTTGCTGGCGTGCCTTTCACACGTAAATTTTTGTGGACTATTGAGGTCTGAATCAGTTCCATCAACAGTAAACGACATTGTGACCTCTTATAACCATTTATGCAAAAGAAGAGTCGAGAGACTGGTGATGATCAGCTGTGGGGGTCGCCGGTGTGCAGTAATGTGTTCCATAGTTTAGTCGTAAACTGAAACAGCATTCTAGCCCTTTCCCTTTTCTTTCAACTAATAGATAATAAAAGGAATTTATATTTTATGAACTAGCAAACACATTCCTATAATAAGCATGATTTTTTTTAATTGTTTGACAAGTTTGTTTTAATATACGAATTTTTGAAAGTACGATTTACTTTTAAATTCCAAATTCTGTTTGTGTGGTGCAACCCACCCGATATTGCTATTTGCAATGGCGTGAAGTCACCTTTGAAAAATTAAATTTATCGCTTATATCTCATTATGAAGAACGAGCCCGATCTTTATTTTTTTTTTTTTTTTTTACAACAAAGTACACTCGGACAATATTTAATCCTTTACTACTATACTTCCTTTTATAAAAAAAATCTTTAAAAGTGAATATAATTCCCATCTATTTTTATGACGAAATGCAACTTTTTTGTAAAACGAATCCTTTATGAAAACGAACCCAATCTTTTTTTTTTTTTTTTTTTTAACAACAAAGTACACTCGGACAATATTTAATCCTTTACTACTATACTTCCTTTTATAAAAAAAAAAAAAAAATCTTTAAAAATGAATATAATTCCCATCTATTTTTATGACGAAATGCAACTTTTTTTGTAAAACGAATCCTTTACTACTATACTTCCTTTTATAAAAATCTTTAAAAATGAATATATTTCACATCTATTTTTATGACGAAATGCAACTTTTTTTGTAAATCGAATCCTTTACTACTATACTTCCTTTTATAAAAATCTTTAAAAATGAATATAATTCCCATCTATTTTTATGAAAAAATGTAACTTTTTTTGTAAAACGGAAACCAACGTAATTTAAACAAGCCATGTATCAAGAGCACGCTGTTGCTTTTTTTATTGTATGAATTCAATAGTAAGCCCTAAATTATATTAAATTCAAACTAAGAAGCTTTCACATAATTTTTGATATCATGAAAAAATCATCGCAAGTCTGATGCAAAAATGCCCGAACATGCTAGGAAAAGGTACGCATTCTAGCAGTACGTTTAGGGAACTGAAAAAAGCAAAATAAACATTAATCTGTGATTATCTCTTAAGGGAGATGTGTGCGAGGCAATTAAGCAGTTTTGAGGGAGGGATCATCACATTTATTGGGTTTAAATTAAGGCTAGAATACTACTAGTAATTATTAAGAAACCTTCTTACCACCCACACTTTTTTTTTGGGGGGGGGACTTTCCAAATCAAATGCGGTTATAAAAATAAAAAAGGAAAGAGACACTGAAATTTATCATAGTAAACTAATTGTTCAAATTTTGAAGTATTTCCATTTCAAAATATTTTTTCTAAGCATGAATTAATATCAGTTACGATGAACTTGGCTGTTGTAAAAGTATAGTTAGCTGAACACAGTTTCGTATAAAATCCAGGGGGATTTTTCCTGGAACTGAGAGAACCATGCTGGGTAGGGATTTCCCTGATATTTAAAGGAAGTCTACATAAAACTACATCTTTTTTGCTTTCATACCCGAAAAGAAGAATTCTTATATGCGTATATGATTATCTAGGAGGGTGACTTCACGCCATTGCACAATTATTTGATTATAAAGCAAGGTGACTTCACGCCATTGCACTTTTATATGATTATCTAGGAGGGTGACTTCACGCCATTGCATGTTTATATGATTATCTAGGAGGGTGACTTCACGCCATTGCACATTTATATGATTATCTAGGAGGGTGACTTCACGCCATTGCATGTTTATATGATTATCTAAGAGGGTGACTTCACGCCAGTGCACATTTATATGATTATACAGCAAGGTGACTTCACGCCATTGCATGTTTATATGATTATCTAGGAGGGTGACTTCATGCCATTGCATGTTAATACGATTATCTAGGAGGGTGACTTCACGCCATTGCACATCAATATGATTATAAAGCAAGGTAACTTCACGCCATTGCATGATTATATGATTATCTAGAAGGGTGACTTCACACGATTGCATGTTTATATGATTATAAAGCAAGGTGACTTCACGCCATTGTACTTTTATAAGATTATCTAGGAAGGTGACTTTACGCCATTGCATTTTTATATGATTATCTAAGAGGGTGACTTCACGCAATTGCATGTTTATATGATTATTTAAGAGGGTGACTTCAAACCATTGCACATTTATATGATTATAAAGCAAGGTGACTTCATGCCATTGCACTTTCATATGATTATCTAGGAGGGTATTTAGGAGGGTGACTTCACGCCATTGCACATTTATATGATTATCAAGCAAGGTATATGATTATCTAGGAGGGTGACTTCACGACATTGCATGTTTATATGATTATCTAGAAGGGTGACTTCACGCCATTGCATGTTTATATGATTATCTAAGAGGGTGACTTCACACCATTGCACATTTATATGATTATAAAGCAGGGTGACTTCACGCCATTGCATGTTTATATGATTATCTAGGAGGGTGACTTCACGCCATTGCATGTTTATATGATTATCTAGGAGGGTGACTTCACGCCATTGCACATTTATATGATTATAAAGCAAGGTAACTTCACGCCATTGCATGTTTATATGATTATCTAGAAGGATGACTTCACACGATTGCATGTTTATATGATTATAAAGCAAGGTGACTTCACGCCATTGTACTTTTATAAGATTATCTAGGAGGGTGACTTTACGCCATTGCATTTTTATATGATTATAAAGCAAGGTGACTTCACGCCATTGCATGTTTATATGATTATTTAAGAGGGTGACTTCAAACCATTGCACATTTATATGATTATAAAGCAAGGTGACTTCATGCCATTGCACTTTCATATGATTATCTAGGAGGGTAACTTCACGCCATTGCATGTTTATATGATTATCTAGAAGGGTGACTTCACGCCATTGCACATTTATATGATTATCTAGCAAGGTGACTTCACGCCATTGCACATTTATATGATTATAAAGCAAGGTGACTTCACGCCATTGCACTTTTATATGATTATCTAGTGACTTCACGCCATTGCATGTTTATATGATTATCTAAGAGGGTGACTTCACACCATTGCACATTTATATGATAATAAAGCAGGGTGACTTCACGCCATTGCATGTTTATATGATTATCTAGGAGGGTGACTTCACGCCATTGCACGTTTATATGATTATAAAGCAAGGTGACTTCACGCCATTGCACTTTTTTATGATTATGTAGGAGGGTGACTTCACGCCATTGCATGTTTATATGATTATCTAGGAGGGTGACTTCATGCCATTGCATGTTCATATGGTTATCTAGGAGGTTGATTTCACGCCATTGCACTTTTATATAATTATCTAGGAGGGTGACTTCACGCCATGTTTATATGATTATCTAGAAGATTGACCTCACAACATTGCATGTTTATATGATTATCTAGGAGGGTGACTTCACGCCATTGCACGTTTATATGATTATCTAGGAGGGTAACTTCACGCCATTGCACATTTATATGATTATAAAGCAAGGTGACTTCACACAATTGCACTTTTATATAATTATCTAGGAGGGTGACTTCACGCCATTGCATGTTAATACAATTATCTAAGAGTTTGACTTTACGCCATTGCACATTAATATGATTATAAAGCAAAGTGACTTCACGCCATTACACTTTTATATGATTATCTAGGAGGGTGCTTTCACGCCATTGCATGTTTATATGATTATCTTGGAGGGTGACTTCACGCCATTGCACGTTTATATGATTTACTAACAGGGTGACTTCACGCCATTGTATGTTTATATGATTATGTACGAGGGTGACTTCACGCCATTGCACATTTATATGATTATAAAGCAAGGTGACTTCACGCCATTGCACTTTTATATGATTATCTAGGAGGGTGACTTCACGACATTGCATGTTTATATGATTATCTAGGAGGATGACTTCACGACATTGCATGTTTATATGATTATCTAGGAGGGTGACTTCACGCCATTGCATGTTTATATGATTATCTAGGAGGGTGACTTCACGCCATTGCACATTTATATGATTATCTACGAGGGTGACTTCACGCCATTGCATGTTTAAATGATTATCTAGCAAGGTGACTTCACGCCATTGCATTTTTATATGATTATCTAGGAGGGTGACTTCACGCCATTGCACATTTATATGATTATCTAGGAGGGTGACTTCATGCCATTGCATGTTCATATGGTTATCTAGGAGGGTGACTTATCTAGGAGGGTGACTTCACGCCATTGCACTTTTATATAATTATCTAGGAGGGTGACTTCACGATATTCCATGTTTATATGATTATCTAGAAGATTGACCTCACAACATTGCATGTTTATATGATTATCTAGGAGGGTGACTTCACGCCATTGCACGTTTATATGTTTTTCTAGGAGGGTAACTTCACGCCATTGCACATTTATATGATTATAAAGCAAGGTGACTTCACACAATTGCACTTTTATATAATTATCTAGGAGGGTGACTTCACGCCATTGCATGTTAATACAATTATCTAAGAGTTTGACTTTACGCCATTGCACATTAATATGATTATAAAGCAAAGTGACTTCACGCCATTACACTTTTATATGATTATCTAGGTTGGTGCCTTCACGCCATTGCATGTTTATATGATTATCTTGGAGGGTGACTTCACGCCATTGCACGTTTATATGATTATCTACGAGGGTGACTTCACGCCATTGCACATTTATATCATTATCTAGGAGGGTGACTTCACGCCATTGCACATTTATATGATTATAAAGCAAGGTGACTTCACGCCATTACACTTTTATATGATTATCTAGGAGGGTGACTTCACAACATTGCACGTTTATACAATTATCTAGGAGGGTGACTTCACGACATTGCATGTTTATATGATTAACAAGGAGGATGACTTCACGACATTGCATGTTTATATGATTATCTAGGAGGGTGACCTCACGCCATTCCATGTTGATGTCAGTGTCTAGGAGGGT